CGAAAATAGAAAGCAGAAATACTGGGGTGGGAAGTTTAGACAAGGATGGAGATGGTGGGGTGAGTGGGGGAAGTAGAGAGGGTTAATCAAAACTAAGGGTACAGGTAAAAGCCATATAGATCTCTTACTTTGTAAACCAATTAAACAATATTAGAGTTACAAGGGCAACACCTTGCAAGAATGAATAACACTGAACCTAATATCCAGAGGTTATTAAAACCAAATCCTAGTGCCAAGTATAAGATACCTTTATGAGTTGTTGGTCAAGGAGTTTGATATAGGCTCTTGCCATTCCTCTTGACTGCCCACAAGAGGTAGGTGATAAGGCCCTATTGCACACCACTTATCTTGGGTGCAACATACAGAGAAATCAACCTAGAACTGAGCTGGAAGCTTCCTCCTTGCTGACTGTCATTTGTGGTACTAGAAGGAGCCATGAAGGTTGCTGGGGGTGTCGTTGGAAGCAAAGGCGCCTATTGTCTTACCCAACTGAGAAGCCTACAAACTATAATACTGCTACAAAGGCAGCCAAGTGCTCTCTGGTTTTGAAGCCCATTCCATGAGAGGGAATCTATGCCAGGTACTATAAACCTGGTTAAAAATCCATATCTAAAGAGGTCTTAGGCCCTAGAGGTCAACTTACTATTGCCATTTAGCAAAATTGATACAAAATCAAGCTGTCTTCTAATATTTATGTTCATACCTACAGGCAAATACTACCATAGGTCTTAGAGACTTCTCAATAGAAGGTAACAAACACAGAGATGCATGAGTGCAGAAGACACTGAGAAGAAGAGATGGGCGAGTGTTCAGTGAAGAACAGAGCATTCATAACACTTCTTCTAAGGTTCATGGAACAGTGTGGGAGACTGGGGACCAGGGATAATATCTGGGTTCTCAATCTTGGTCAGAGAAGTTTCTTTTTTGCAGTGGATAGCAGTTAATGCAGACTCATACTAGTCAAAGTGCTGAGAATAAATGAGTACTCAGCCCTAAATGGATTTTTCTATCAACCTCCTTTCCCCAAACCTCAGGAAACATCATGGAAGAGAGATCAGAAAGAAAGTAAGAGCTGGGGAATGAGGAGGAGTGCTATGAAATGCTGTCTTCTGGACATGGCATGGCTGTTGTACTCATGAACTCACAGCAGCTTTAGTTACAAGCTTTAGTTACAAGGCAGCACTGATGGGGAAGAGGCTTATAAGGCTCCACACCTAGCTGAGGAGTTATTGGAAGTTGATGGTGGCTAGGAGAGGGATGTTGCCACTGGTAGGTACCCCATGCTCCAGTGGATGACCCCACACCCAAGTGTGTACGAGCAGCACTAACTGGATAAAGTGAGATGTAAAAACTAGAAAAAGAAGAAGAGGACATGAATCTGGGATGGATATGTGTTGGGGAGTGGTCTAGAGGAAGTTGGGGGGTAGGGGCAATATGATCATAATATATATGTGTATGAAATTCTAAAAAAGTTTTTAAATTCATTTTTTTAATTGTGAGAAATTCTATATAGTATATACATTAATATATAAACATACACACTTGAAATTGCTCAATTCATACATGAAGTACAGCAGGAATCTCTGTCATGGGTGTGAATAAGCAAATGGGAAAAGTTGTGCTTATGTCAAAAGGCAAAAGGCTCAGCTATAATGTCTACTGGGCAAGGTTTGGGGAAGACTGAAAAAGTAATCTCACCAATAGTGGTTCAAATATGAAATGTCCCCCATCAGCTCATGTGTTAGCTCATGGGCCCCAGTTGGTGGTGCTGTTTGGGAAGGTCCTGGAACCTTTGGGGGTGGGGCCATGCTGGAAGGAAATGTACCACTGGAAGTTCATTTTGAGGTTTTATAGCCTGGCCCCTCTTGCTGCTCTCTGCTTCCTGAATGTGGCTGCAGTGTGACCCACCAGCTTCCTGCTCCTGTAGCCATGCCTTCCCTGGTGTTCCCCTCTGGGCAGTGAGGAATTCTATCCCTCTGGAACTGGAAGTCAAAACAACCCCTTTCTCCATTAAGTTATTTTGTCCAGATATTTCATCACCCTAGCAACAGAAAAGATACTAATAGTGCAAGACAGTGTTTAGGACAGAGAAAAAAATTAAAATGTAGATGCATAGATTTAATTTGTCATTGAGACATATTTTTTATAAAGTTATGTTTCTAGAAAATTCATAAATCATAAACTGGAAAAGATGAGTTGGACAAAAAGCCTACATTACTACAGTGAACTACAGGTTGTGAACAAAGGAAAACAGGCCCCACATGGTTCCAGACGTACAGCCTACAATCTTTCATGTATTTACCTAGTTCATTCCTAGGGGCCTTATTGGTTATGATACAAAGGCCACAGGGCCATTGGTAGAGGACCCTGGTTTACACCTTAACTCAAGTAATTTGGGGCAAATTCCATGTTCCCGGACTCTTCACAGAAATCCTTCCAAGGCCAAATGAAGGATAAATACTATTAAAAGGCTCCATGTTATAATGGTTAGCACTCTGGACTCTGAAATACAAACACTATTGTTCTTGAGTTGAATCCCCAGAAACACAAAATTAATTAATTAAATATACACAGTATTTCCAAGTTTCAAACAAATAAAATTAATTTTTTGTGCCTCCCACTTTGTGCTGGGCCCACAACCCCACCCTGGTTCCCAGAGCGTGTGTAGGGCTCCAGCGCAGAGCGGTGGCCTGTGGTCAGTAACCTCCAATGATGCTCATCCCCAGGTAGTCATAGGTCCTGCTCCCTGGGTTCTTCACTCCCCCATCACCTTCGCACTGTGATTCCCCAAGACCCATGTAAAGTAACACATCAAGTCCTTCCTATCTCTTTTCCTGTCTTCACTTATCACTCACTGACATGGTTGCCATGATTATTGTTGGAATGTCCACTTATTATGGTCTGAATATGAAGTGTCACACCAAAAGGCTCATATAAAGAAAGTTGATTCTCAGCTACTGGCTGATTTCAGAAGGTTTTGGAAACTTTAGGAGGTCTGGGCTAACTGGAGGAAGTATGTCACTGGAGGCATGTCCTTGGGGGCTGTATCTTATCCTGAACCCCTTTCTGTCTGTCACCTCTCTTGGGGAGGTGAACAGCCTCCGCACCCACATGTTCCTGCCCTGCCACCGTGATGTTCTTTGAAACCACATGGGAACAAGCAACCAGGAGTCCAGGTTAAACTGTTTATGGAATTTCACATCTTGACGAGAAAAGTAACTATTACACCACTACAGTCCACAAAACAGACACTTCTGTCAATTTTGATCACTATTGTGCCCCCCAGATCCTGCACATGCTCAAGGGTGTGAAAGTACTCATTTATCCTCTGCATAAGTCAGTTAAAAAAAAAAATTCTCAAGTCATTTCTTTGTTATTATTTTTCATTTTTCTTCATGGAAAAAAATGTGAAAGGAAAGAATTTTAAAACTAAAAGGACAGAAAGCATAAGGAAAGAATATTCAAAGAAAGAAGACCAGCAAATGGCAGAGGAAGAAGAGGGAGACTTTAAATGTTGAGGATCAGCTCTGAAGCACCACAGTTCAATGGTACATGAAACCACAAGCTCACAGCACACACTGTCCTGGAGACAAACCTTGCAGATACAGAAGGCAAGGCACTCACTCTGATAAGTCAGACTCAGCCCTCGCCACATTTTCATTGTTCCCTGGGGTCCCCTACTCTGCTGAATGGATAAAATGTCCAAGATAACATCAACAGAGTAAAATACTACATTAAAAGTGATTATATATTTTAGGGGCTGGAGAGATAGCTCAGTGGTTAAGAGCACTGACTGCTCTTGCAGAGGACCCAGGTTTGATTCCCAGCACCCACATGGCGGCTACAAACTGTCCTTAACTCCAGTTCCAGGGGAATCTGAAGCCCTCTTCCGACCTCCACGGCATTGCATGATACGGGTGCACCCACATACATGCAGGCAATACACTCCTACACATAAAATAAAAATAATAAATGAAAACATTTTAAAAAAGAAAGATCATACAACATTTTTAAAAATGATTATATATTTTATACTATTGAATATAATGATATACCACTTAACTGAGCAAATTATATATACTTTCTTCTTTAAAGAGAAAAAAATCATGCCAGGTGTGGAGGCGCAAGCCTTTAGTCCCAGCACTCAGGAGGCAGAGGCAGGCAGATCTCTGTGAGATCGAGGTCAGCCTGGTCTACATATGGAGTTCCAGGCCAGCTTGAGGTCAGCCTGGTCTACCTAGGGAGTTCCAGGCCAGCTGGGGCTACAGGGAGACCTTGCCACAAAAAAGAGAGAGAGAGAGAATCATGATAAAATTTAAGCTACACGAGGCTGGAGGGATGATTCGATTAAGAGCAAGTATCAGTCTTGCACAGGACCTGTGTTCAGATCCCAGCACCCATATTAGGCATCTCACAACTGCCCATAACTCCAGCTCCAGGGGTTCACATGCCTCTGGCCTCTGAAGACACCTGTACTCATGTTCACACAGACGTATATACATACACATACTTAAAACTAAAAATAAAACCTTAAAAAAATTGTTTCACATTTGAATTAAGGAATAATATCTTTGTGTATAAAAGAAGTAAATCTAAAAACTTCCAGAGCAAAAGTAAACACCTCATTCAAAAGAATAAAAGGGCCAGGGAGATGATTCAGTGGGTAAAGTGTTTGCCACATAAACAGGAATACCTAACTTTGGATCCCCATAAAGCCAAACACAGTAATGTGCACCTATAATCCCAGCATTCCTATAGTGAGGAGGCAGGCACAGGCAGGAGAACCATGGAAACTCAAGGGCTCGTTGCCTAGTACACACAGCTGCAAATAGAGACTCTGTCTCAAACAAGGTAGAAGGCTGAACTTGTCCTCTGACCTCCATGCATACATCATGGCTTACGTGCATCTGCACTTACACATATGAACATGCATACATACATGTACACACATATACATCACAAGGAAAAATTTTTAAAAGATAACAAAACCTGCATTTTCACATTGAGGTGTTTATTTCATATGTGTATATGCATCTATAAATAAAAATAGTGTTGTATCCTGGCATGAATAAATCTACTCAGTGAATATCATTCATTCACACACACAATGGGGAGCCTTAATTATTGAGTTGAACTATTAAATATCTTAAAACCACATTTTTAAAAAGAGCACAGGTAAAAAAGTTTGACGAGGAATGTTTAAAATAAAGTATATATCCCTATTCATACTGACAGGAACTGTTACTAAGTATAATGTTACATAATCAGCATCATTTCCCACCTAACAGTTCCTAAGAGTATTCATTTCCTGCAGCTACATAACTGCAACTCTGAGTATCTGCCTGTCTCTTACGCTCAGTAAACTACATCTAATGTGCCTTTACATCCAGTTGTCATGGAAGTCAAATGACTTGCACTTTCCAACACACAGCCTACGCTGTGGGTTTACTTAGAAATTCCTTGTTGAAAAATCTTCTTGCTTCAACATTACTGAGGGAAACAGAGCAACGAGATGGATTCTGTCTTCTGTATTCAATGCTTTCAACTATGGCGTCCTTTATCACCTGCAAATGAAGACAGATATATAATGAGCACTGCTATGGACCCCCCAGAAAGATATGCTGGAAGGAAAAAAATACTGAGTTGATCTCTCTGTAGTCTCCTTGCTATGGAAAGTACATTGAAAGAAATCTGAGTTCACATGCACATTTCAATTCCACGTTCCACCAATCACTCTTGTTAAGAAGTGCCCCAGGACAGGCATGGTGGTGCACACCTTTAATCCCAGCACTTGGGAGGCAGAGGCAGGCAGATCTCTGTGAGTGCGAGGCCAACCTGGTCTACATAGCAAGTTCCAAGTTTGTCTCAAAAAGACCAAAAAAAAAAAAAAAGTACTCCAGGAGTGCTCCATATTGTATGCTGATGAACTTTGGGGGAAAAAAATGTTTGTAACGTGTTAAATTTATGCTCAATCCATCCTATTCAGGGAAATGATAATATGGAAGAAATTATAATTATTGTATTATAATTTGTGTTTTTTATAGTTAAAGGCAAGGGGGAATAGGAGACCACAAATAAGTAGGACTTCCCCTAATGAAGACAGAAGGCATCGCTGGAGAATTTCCCTGCTTCTCACCAACTAGAAAATATGAGTGTCCTCCGACTAAGAAACACCATACTTGGTGACTTTCCTGATGAAAATGCACTGCTATTTTTCATTCAGAATAATCTTTATATTTATTCAAATTGCTTATGACCAGAAGAACATATAAGAAGTATTATATACTCTTTACGATATGAAGCTAGCCTTGTTAGGAACTTTAGGAGGGAAGAAGAAATTTGGATTTGATCAGAGCCATTACTGTGGAATGATGAGAAAGGACTGTGGAAGATGCTGGATGGTGCTCACAGCTCTGTCAATGTTTTAAAACCCTATCAGCACCAGGAAGCCGCCATTCCCTGGTAACTGTCAACAACATGGATGTTTAGGGCAGTAGAGGGAGAGGCAAGTGGCAGTTATTGCACAGTTGCCTTTATTCTCCACCTCAGAAATTGTTACATAGCACTGTGGTACCCATGTGCTTTTAGCCTTATGCTGGGAAGTTGGAGCTCAAGACCCCACGACCTCCTCCGACTCAGAGCTTCTGTGGTTCCTCTGGCCACAGAGGCATGCACAGAGGGCTTTTCCAGCCTCATAGCTCATATAGCAAGTGTGATCCAGTGTCTGGAAGAGGGAGATGTGAGGTCTCAGTGAAGCTAACACAGTCAGTATTCTTTAACTTAATGTCATGCTCAGAGTACGAGCCTCAATTTTTTTCCAGAGTAGTTAACTATAAAAAATAAACCGTCGTATTCTGGAAAAAAGATTTTTGTCACAAAGAAAATTTTTATATGCTTAAAAAATGTGCTGATATCTTCTTGAGGAACTAGACTTAAATATTACTGAGCCTTTTAAGCAAGTATGTGCTGACCCCACTTTCCTATGAGTAAGGGAGACATAATGAATTTTTCAGTGAAAGAGATCAAAGGCCCCCTGGTCCAACCACTTCTAGGTGTGTGAAGTAGAAATTAGCCAAAACCCTTAAGCCTGTTTCCTCTTCTTTTTAAAATGGGAATTAACATTACTAACCTTGAATTGCTGGGGATTTGAAACCATGTCTGTAAAGTGCTTTGGACAAAGCCTGGTATAAGGAAGCAACTGTAACTGGAGTCTGTTCATGCTGTTACTTTTAAACTGACTACGAGTGATGAAGTTAGGAGGCTACAAAGTTTACAAGAAACAAGCACTTTACATAGGAAAGAATTAGCTTAGTATATGGTATAAATTTGCAGATCAACCCTGCCATTCACGTGTACTACTGTGTTTTCTAACATTCACTATCCTTCTGGAGATCCAGCCTTGGATGCCATGGTTCATTTCTGCTGCTTCATACCTGCCAGAGAACCATCAGTCTTCAGTCTTCAGTGCAGAGACAGGCCAGATGAAATAAAGCATCTAAAACACATTAGACCAGAAAACACCACGGGAAACTTACACTGATAATTACTCTCTGCTGTTAGCTTTTTTATAAATGAATTCACGGGCACAAAAAAATCAGCAGTCAAAAAGAAAAAGAAAAAGAACTCTTTGTGGGCTAGAGCTGGAGATCAGGCAGTAAAGTGCTTGCTAAGCATGCATGGGGCCCTGGGTTCAATCCCCAGTATTATAGAAAGACAAAGAAAGAAATGGCAGTATTAGTGCCACAAATTATTGAGCCTCAGCTCATATTCCTAGTACTTTCCTAGTCTTTCTTTTAATCGAAAGCCAACATTTGTGTTTATAACTGGAAATCCCAAATCCTATGCAATGAGAATGTGCAAGCTGGACCACCAGGGGGCACATTAACACTGTGAAAACTGAGCAGGCTTCTCCAACTTCAGAACACAGCCAGCCCTGGGAGTTGTTAATTCTGCCACACAAAGGGAAGACTTCTACATAAGCTTGCTACTAAATTGCTTGCTATATTTAAATCTTTAACATGCTGCTGGTATATCTGGATGTATATAAAAATGAGTATGGCAAATGTGAAGCTTCATAATTTTTCTTTTTACTCAGAGTAATCTTAAATGATCTACGTTTAACTTTTTCTTTCATGATTCCCTGGAATACAGAGATTCCAAATCCTTCCTGTCCGGTTTATTATAGCAACATACCTCAAACTCCAATCTTCTGTGTCCCCACTGCCCATCCCAAGTCTCAACCATGTTGTCTTTTACTGTGCTATTCAATAGCTTCTTAATTCTTGAAACAGTTCCCTTAATTCTTCATCAGTGCAAACACAGAAGAAAAACTTGTAAAATGAGATCACCCCCAAATTCCAAAAGGAACGAATTTGGAGACCTTAAATTGAGCAATTTGTAAACAAATGTGGAGCTCTTGTCGCACAAATTTAAACTAGCCTGAGAGAGGAAATTACAATGTACTTTGAAAGAGGTTACCAATATAGGAAAAAACTGATTTCTCTGGATTATTGTGGCTAAGTTCTGCTTGCCCAATGTAACTGAAATATTGTGAAAACAGGATTTAGTCTTTTCATTTCTGATCCCAGAACTGTGAATATGAAAGATACATAATAAACATGGGAAAACTAGTAAATGCCCAGGATGTGCTTGCTGGAGTCAAATTACCCAGATTAAAGTTCACTCCATGGTGACAGTGTGACTAGAGTTGGGCAGAGATTTCATAAGCAGAAGGGACAGAGAGTTTGCTCCATGAGGAACCACACACAACTGAGGATGAAATGCTATGGCATGCAGAGGGGACATAGGAGATTATGTGGGAACTGGTTGGCCTGGCTGCAAAAGAGACTGTTTGTGGAACACTAAGAAAAAAGGCTACTTGAGAGATAAATGATTTAGAAAGAAGAAAAAAAGGAAAAGACTTTTAACCTTTGCCAGCCCTCCTCCCACAACATAATTCAGAGTTTCAGCATTTTGACTAGCTAATCGATTTGATTCCCTTGCCTATAAATCAACACGCATACACACACACACATACACACACACACACACACATACACACACACACTTCTTCGGCTAGTTTTGAGTATTAAATATTTGGGGGAAAATACTTGGTTAATACTCAGCATTCAAAACTTTTCCTTTTTTTATTTGTTTGTTTAGGTTATTTGTTTTATGAAACAGAGTCTCCCTATGTAGTCCAGGCTGGCCTCAGTCCAGCCTCCTGAGTGATAGGACTGCAAGCATGGGCCACTGATTCTGACTCCTTGTTCTTTTGTTATATATTGCTGTATCTCTGCAACCATGCCTGGCATGGTTGGTAATAAGTATGCATTCAACTAAAATATAAATGAAATTGACAGAATTGGCTATAGCATTGAAAACAGGTGATTTGGAGGCTGCTAAGACTCAGAAAAAAAAAAAAACCTTCAAATGAAAGCTTCAGAAAAGTCTCAGAAACATCTATCTGCTTTCTCCCCTGCTTTCTCTGTCACCTACCCAGAAGTTGCCCCCAAGCCATAGAAATTAGAATCCTTCTTCCCTAAAGGGGAGGAGGCATAGAAACTATAACTCATTTCACCAAAGCAAGCCATAAAGTCTAATGGTACTGCTTTAATTTCCCCTGCCTTTCATAGAACTCGCAATAAAAGAACTCTCTTCTTTGTCTGGGAGTACATCCTAGGATCCACTTCAAAAGATTCTGCCCCAGTAGGACGGGATGCTGCACAGAAAAGAGGAATCCAAACAGGCAGGCAGGCTTCATGGACTTTCTATCAGCAGTAGGCAATTCTATTTCTAAACACCTGTCCACGCTTCAGGAACCATGGAATAAAACTGGGTAGTCCACCCTAGGTCTCTGTATCTTTACTCTGAAGAACCCCATCTTGTTTAAAACTACAGTCAAATGACTCTATTAGGCTTTTGCCTTGTCAACCTGTCTTCTGCACTGTCAGCCACAACCTACTGTGATGGTTACAGGGATCACTGTCTTTCCTTCCCTGCGGACCTAATAAAAAAAGTCAAGATGTGCAATACACTTCCAGGTTATTTTCTGAAAGGCAAGAACCTTAACTTGTATCTGGACACTCTTACTGAGATGATGACATGCCATCAAATTAAGAATTAACCACTAGTATGTCTGAATAGGTACATACCCTCATTTTGATTAACATCTACTGTTTAACACTGTGAGGGTTAATACTGTCACTTTAACAGCATCTAGAATCAGATAGGAAAGAATATTCTGGACATGTCTCTGAGAGACTCTCTAGATTAGCTTGAGGTAGGAAGATTCAGCCTAAATGTGGGCAATGCCATCCCACAGACTGTGGTCCTGGATTGAATAAAGAGCAGAAAGCCAGCCGAGCACAGTCATCTCTGGTGCAGCTTCCGGACAGTCTGTGCATTGCGACCAGCTGCCTCACGCTCCTGCCACCACAACTTTCCCATCAGGATGGCCTGTACCTTCTACTGTGAGCCAAAACAAACTCTCCCTGCTTTTCTTCAGGTATTTTGTCATATTAATTAGAAAAGTAGCTAATGCGAACACTTCATAAAATGATTTGACAAAATTTAAGTTAATTATTATGTATATTGGCATATATCGAATCAATTGATAGGCAATATGTGCAGTAGGATCTGCCTGAATTTGTTTATTGGGTTGATAACTGAGTGCTATTAGATAAACCATATATTTTTTCTGTGATAGTTCACTCAACAAATTTGGTAAAAGAATACTCAGAACATGTGTTCCAGTCAGAACAAACTAGTAGTTTATCAGTCTGGTGTGTAGGCACACTGCACAGCAAGGCATGTATTGTATAGAGTCCCCATAATCAACAGCTCTGTCTCCAACTAGTGGCAACTTGTATCCTGACCTTGTTATCCCCAGTAAGTCAATGACTTGTAAAAATAAATCATGAAATTGCATTGTGTATTCATTTGGGGTGCCATCTCTCCCTGGAGTACAAAAATTAAATGAGTCACTGTTTTATAGTTAATAATTTAACATTAAAAGCAGAAGAGACTCTGAAAACTAATAATTACTGTATTAGCTGCTTTGATTTCTCATCTATTCCATTCTAAGTCCTTAAGTCATATTACTTTACTTAACCCCCACCATGACCCTTATAAGATAGATATTGCTGTTTCCCCTTACAAATGAGAAGTGTAATCTACATGCCCAAGGTCACCCAGCTAAAGGGCAGCTGAGCAATGGTTACATACCTAATGGGGTCTGAATCTAAGGCACGTTTATACCCCACATGCCACATGTCTACTAGTCTAAGCCACTAAAGGTTAAGTTTCTAATAAGGAATTTTTTTCAGTCCCACAAAATACCATAATTGTGAAAGCAAAATGGTGATGTTCATTGAAAAGGAATTTGGGAGGTCTGACGTGTAGAACCTGATGCCAGTGAGAAACCCAGGCTGCTGTCAAAAAGTGAGCAAAAACAGAGGCAAAGTCCTCTGAAGGATGTCCCGGGGAAACATCATCAGCAACGGGCAGCTGCTAGCACAGTGGCCTTCTCTGAGCAAAGCCAGGCCAGAAAACGAATTGTAGAGGAAATACTGCTTTAAGCCACAGTGGCCCTGGCCTCAAGGCTGCAAACTGTCTTCTTAGGCCTTAGTGATGAAAGTCTTTGCATTCTGTTTTATTGCAGTGTCTGCTACTTGCAAACTCTGACACTCTGAGTGCTGCATAAGTGTAAATTAGTATCCTACCCCCCTAGATGTGGCGCAGTGATTTAAATGACTGAACCCAATGAGTGGCCCAGCATCCTAAACTCAGTGGAGTTTGGTTGCTTTTTATGTATTATCGCTTGCCAGGAAACAGATGATAGAAATGTGTCTTCTTGGTTAAAGGGCATGTGAGAGAGGTCACTGAGAGCTAAAATATCTATAAAACTAGAAGTTTTACCTTTATAACACACACACACACACACACAAAACACACATACAACACATGAAACACTTGAATAAGAGTTTCAAGGGCCATGTAATTTAGGGGGAAAAAACCCATACATTAAGTCATCTAAAACACTTACTTAATGCATAGACTGTCATTGCCTATAGAGCTTATCTACACCCTGAATCCTAAACACTTTTGTAATTCAGGTTTATTTCTCATGCACCTTCAGGGATGCAGGACATAATAAGGCACAGGTGGGATCTCCATTGATTAAGCAGCTTTTGCTGTAGGACACTGTTTAGGCACTATCTAATTACATATTTCTAGTCACTCTGTGTCATGATAGGTCCTATAGCATCTGTTTTAGAGATGAGGAAACTAAAGCTCTCAGTTTTGAGTAGTGTATTTAGTTATAAGTGGGCCACCCTGAATTTAAAAATACTATAAAATCTATATCCTAGTGTCTAAATGTTACACCACAGTGTTAACAGAAGCTATTAAAAATGCTTTGTGAAAATCAGCATTGAATGTGCTGTAAGTCAAGGTGGCTATTTTAGAATTCAGTCTACCTTTGTTCAGGCATTAACATTTCATGTATGTGTCAGACAAATTACCTGGAAGAAAGCTTATAAAATACATAAGTAGAACTATAACATTACTTCTAGCAAATATCCTAGGAGGTTTTATATAAACAAGAACTGAAACCGCAAGAGAAATGTAGCTGTTGAAGATACATATATGTGTGTTTATTCCCAGGTCTGAGGGGGTATTTATAATTCCTACAGTTCTGGTTCTTTCCATTAGAGGATTGCTTATCAAGTTTAATACATTTTATCCCAAGGAATAAATGATTCTATTTGTTTCAAAATGGAAAAGTATAATAACTGTGACATTTTTCCTCAACTTTCTTTTCTTTTAGTAGCGTGAAGCTTTATATAACTACTTTGGCAATTTGCTTATTCCTGGTGTCACAGATTAAAATACTCATTTCTTTATTAATTATCTTTAAATTTTAACTGTCATTACAGAAGCAAGAGAGCATGAGGTTTTTAAATGTCTACTCCTTTGTAAGATTTATTAAGCATATATTAAGAAAATAACATGTTGCAAATTGCGATATGTTATATATTAATCATTATGTACTAGAAAATGCAGGCAGAAAAGAAAGAATTTTTGAATTATAGGAACTGAAGCTTATTAGGAAAAATTTCATATGATTATGAAAATATTCTGATTAATAAACATTATGGTCATTATAGCATGATTGTATACAGCTTATCATTAATTGTCACAAGGAAAATTAAACAGGCAAGCATGTTGATACGCCAGACTTCTCTTAGCCCACAAAGTCTACTTAAGTTCCACAGAAAAAGCATATCCATACACTGGGCCTTTCTTTGAGTCATCTATTATCTCCAAAAACACCTAGCAAATCAGAAAAAATGCCTGCATCTAGTTCTTTCTTTTTTTCTTTTTCCTAATGTGTAAAATCCAAGTAGGCCAATGAATTTGAGCTTGCACAACTGATAACAATTTGTTGGACCCTCTGAGTTGGGACCACAAACTGATTATTTCAATTACACAGCAGTACTCCAAAGTGATAAATTTAGGACTGAATAGTTTCATAGATAGATAATCTTAGCAGCAGATGTGCCAGTGATAGGAATGCTTGGTACCGAAGGGAATGGCTTGTTTCTAAAGTCTCCCAACACAAAGCACACACGCTATCTCAAAGGCTAAAAATGCAGGAGCCTGTTGTACTTGGCAACACTCGTTAAGAGTCACAAAAATAAAACATTGAAAGCATGGATGCTTTCATTCAAAGTCTGTGACAAGACTCGCAAATTAATGATACTCTTGCTCATGCTTCACTACTATTGGGTTTCCTTTTCATCATTCTCCTCCTTTTCATAACATATTTTACCATGAGATGACTGCATGAGATACTTCAGGAAAGCAGTTGGGAATTAACCCTCATTCGATCAAACAAGAATACGAAATGGGAGTTTGACTATGCGGAGGCATATTTGTGAAGTTTCTAAGGTTCTTTTAGAGATTAGTAAAGTGATTCCTAAGAAGCAAGGCAGCCCATTTTGGATCCTGTCATTTGAGCCCTGTTTGTCTTCTTCTGAACTCATGTAATATCCTAGTCATTTGACATTTCCAGTATTGCGGGAGAAACTTACGTCAATGTTGTTCAGTGTATTGAAGTACATCAGATCATGTAGCCTTTTGAATGCTTGATTTGTATATTGAAAGTTAAAGGTTGAAAACGGCGATTCGGGGTCATCAAAGATGTCAAAGTCAGCTATTTCTTTCTCTTCTTCAGTTTCTCTTGGAACACCTGTATAACAAAAGAATACCAACGTTGTTTTTTTGAAAACTAAAATCTCTAAAATTTGGGGGATAAAACAAAGACATGGCCATGAAGAAGGCACTGAGGGTCCCTGTGCTGGATAGCTTTAGTTGTCAACTTGACACACCTAGATAGAGGGATCCTCAATTGGTGAATTTCCTCCATTGGACTTGCCTATGCAGTATCTGTGGGGCATCTTCTGGATTATTGAGTGATGTGGGAGGGGGCCCAGCCCACTGTGGGTGGTGCCACCCCTGGGCAGGTGTTGTATAAGAAAGCAGGCTGAGCAGGGGCCAGGGGAGCAAGTCAGTAAACAGCATTCCTCCATGGCCTGTGTGTGCTTCAGCTCCTGACTTCAGGTTCCTGCCCTGAGTTCCTTCCTTGGGCTCCCTCAGTGATGGACTGTGTCCTGGGAGATGTAAGACAAATAAACCCTTTCCTCCCCCGGTTGGTAGTGGTCAGACTGTTTTGTCACAGCAATGGAGAAACAAACTAGAACAGCCCCTAAAGAGGCCACTTAGCACATCTGTATGCCTTGACTACAGAGCTCCCATAGCCAGTGCCTACACCTCAGTGTGGCACTGCAGTGTCCTGTAGCTTTCATTCCCTCCCTGCAAGAAGAGAGGCTGCTCTGCCCATCAGGCTGGAGATTCCCATGAATAACACTGTGCCCCTGTCAGGCGTACTTGGAAAACGGTGATATAACACCTAATTCCCTTGCCTGCTAATACATAGGTGAAAAGGATGATTTTAGAGCCCGGACTCTATGCCTTACACTTTCCCAGGTAGGTCAAGCTCCTTTTGAGGTCCCTGACTTACTAAGATGTGCTTTGTTGTCTGCCTTCCTGCCTGTATTGCTTCCTCACTCCCTTATTAATAATTAACCATTCACACTTGAATCCTGTTCTGAGAATCTGGCTCGGGGAAACCCAAAACAAAACATTATCCACAGAAATCCCTGTACTTACCAGCTGTTTAGTTTCTGTTTGAGACTGACAGTAATAGCAATTGTCTAAGTTTTCAGATTCCACTGTTTGAACATGAAAAATCGAGCCAGTTCTTCCTTCCATGTTGAGCAAGCCTCACAACAGCTCCACCCTTTTTATTCTTTTATCTTCCTGAGCAATCCAGACACGATTACCCTCTTCTTCATATCCCCCCACCCATCTTTCTTGTGTCTTTCCGTTCACAAAATGAAAAACTATATTTTCTGGTCTGAAAACAATATGGCATTTAGAATCTTAAGCATCCACCTTTTGTTAATGAGTATCTTCCAGAACGCAGAAAAGTCTACAGACTCCTCTAGATGTGGTAGAAGAGAATGATTATTTCTTGAACTTGACTCTCCTTTTCTATAAAATACAGCATGGCAGCCTAAAGCAGTTACACATGCAGCACTTTTAGATTACATTGTTTTTATGCTCAGTTAAAATTCCACAGTTTTTTTCATAATTTTTTTAAACAAGAGCTATCTTACAAAGGTAAAAATCAAAATATTTAGCATTCTTTATGACAAAGACACACATCAAACCAACCTAATCCAAGATTTTGGTTCAATGTCTTACAGATTTTTTTTTCTGAGCTAGTCATACATCTTCCAGTTTCCAGATTATGAGAAACTTGAGATCTTGGGGTAGAAAAGAAGGAAAGTGTTTGGGCTCTTAGATTAGCCATAGTCTATCAGGGTAAGAGAAGCACTCTGGGCAGCAGTTCATGGAACACCGCAAGTATAAAACAGCTTAGTGTCAGTGGTGTTCCCCAAACAAACTTCTATTTTATGGAATAGACTTTATTCCCAGTGTACCTGGAGACTTGTACTTTCTGAAGTTGATGTTGGCCAGAACAAAATGGATGATAGTTGGACAATCTTTCTCCATATCTGAGTTCTTGGGTTTAAAGACATAGCACTCCTTCAGTCCTTCTCGATCAAAAACATAAGGATCAATCTTTGGAAAGGGGAGTTTGTTCATTTTAGCCCACTTTTCTGCAAGTAGAAGTTCCTATAGGAAAGAGAAAGATGCATCTAAAAATTTCCAGTCATCATTTGTTCAGTTGGTCTGCCCATTATTCAAAATTCATTAGGTGTTACTGTCAGCAGCTACTAAGATAAACAGCACTGTTCTTGAGAGCCACGCAAATCTCTAAAATCTGTCAAATTCCTCTCCAAACAAAGTCAATACTGCCATGTCAATGCCTGGCACTGGCTAGCTACACAGCACACATTTGAAAAATTTACAAATCAATTTAATTGAATAAAACTATGTTTAAGAAATTGCTACAGCAATAAAATATAATGGTTCCAAAATTTATAACTATGTGACTGGGTTTTGAGCCTTAGGAGTTTAAACACTCTGATAATGCAGAATGGGAGATCCTGTTACTAACTTTTCACCTGCTATCTCCACAAAAGTGCTTAAAAATATCAATTGAAGGGCTGGAGAGATGGCTCAGAGGTTAAGAGCACTGACTGCTCTTGCAGAAGATCTGGGTTTGATTCCCAGCACCCATATGGTGGCCAACAACCATCCATAACTCCAGTTCCGGGGGATTTGATGCCCTCTTCTGACCTCTGTGGTCACTGCACAACACTGGTGCACTTACACACACACAGGCAATACACTCATACACATAAAATAAAAATAATAAAGAAAATATTTTTAAGGACCAAATTGCTTTGCTAAGAATGTTAAATTCAAGTGTAGCTCAATATTAGCTTCATGATAAAAACTACATTTTTGTAGAGCTGATATTGTAGAGAAAATACTTTTTAAAAGACATGTTATTTTTAAAAAGTGTCTGTTATAGCTTTTCTGAGATACTACATATAATTAGATTTTTAAGTTTTGGATGTTGGCTATTCCTAAATGTTTAATGGTTTCTTTAATTTCTTATGTATGGTACCGTAACAAACTTCATAGGAATTTGTATACTGATATAATTTGTTTTTTTAGGACATTGCATTTTTGTGTTCTTTAAAAAGGGCAATAAAATTATGTATTTATTTTTAAATCAATTCATTTTATGTATATAAAATATTTACATTTCCCTAAATTGCATTTTTGACTTCCGCTTATGAAAAGGAAGTTAAACTTCAGGCCTTCCCATGTTGCAAGCATATGTATGGTGGGTAAGTGTGGTTTCAGGGGTTTAGTCAGTGAGGAAGAGAGACTGAATGATCACATCCATGTATTCGCTTCTTCCCAGTATGAGGACTATGCCTCCCATCAGACAGATGAGCACTGCAGATGACTCCACTGCAGGCACATATGCAGCATGGCCAGGAAGTGCTCGCCTGGTGTTAGCCGTAAGAGCTATTTGTCTCTCTCTGCATCAAAGCTGAATAATTCAATGCATGAGTGAAAAACAATATATGTACAGACTGGGAAGACGGCTCAGTTGGTAAAGTGTCTGCCATGCAATCATGAGGATCTGCAGTGCCATGTAAAATCTGGGTAGGTACAGTAGCAGCATGTCTATAAACAACAGACAGGAGGATCCTTAGAAATCATTGTCTAGCCAGTATATCTGAATCAATGAGCTCCAAGTTCAGTAAGAGATCCTATATCAAAAGAGAAGGTGGAGAACAACTGAAAAAGGCATCTGACATCTACCTCTTGCCTCTGCATATGCATACATATGTGCATGCACATCCACATTTACATGTGTATACACCCACATGAACACATACATACATACCACATTCATACACATATACACACATTCCATATACACAAAAATGTAGATAAAAATGTTAAATTTAAACTAGAGAATATAAATCAATACGGAGAAGTCTTGGAAGAGAACTTTTTTCCATTTATATGCAGCTTTGGGGCAGGGGAATAAATTAGAGATAAGACATCACAGAGTGAAAACACAGACTGGACCCAATGCCTGGATCCAAATGCCAGCTCTGTAGCTTTAGTGTGTTTTTCTGAACCTCTCTATATTCAGTATCCTCAACTACAAAACATGGACCACAATTAAAATTAAATTAGAATATAGCATTTTATAGTATTTAGAACACTGTGCATCACATACTGAATATCTGGTAAATAAATATAACTAAAGAGAGGAAAAAGTGAGGAAAAAAAAGCAAGAAAGAAAAAAAGGGAAGATGAGCAGGAACCATATTAGGAAAATTCCTAAACAGAGGACATTTGAGGCAAACCATCATTAAGATCTTTTAGAACTACTCTTGTCATATTGATCCAGCCAAGAACAATCGTTACTGGCTGACCTAAGTCCCATGCTAGGACCTGGGGGACAGAACCATAAGCAGAGCTTCATGGCCCTCCTCACTATGGCCTGCCTGGTGAGAGATGGTGATCAAGTAACTCTTCATGTTTAAAACTGTGATAGATGCTATGAAAAAAAATTACAGTTTGCCAGAAAACTGTGTAGAAAGCCTTAGACTATTTCCTCAGTGAATTTATTACCTCACTCAACAAATACTATGGAGCCTCTTGCTATGTTCTAGGCATAAGAGAGAGACTACCTTTGAAGCTTTGATTTGTTTAAGTCAATGAGAGAGATAATTAAATGTTATGGTACAGTAGGGTACAGTGGGGAGGGTGGGGGACAGCTATGGACCTGGGTTTTACAGTGTAAGAGACCCAGCTCAAATAGACACTTTTAACTTGCTAGTCAGACAACCTGAAGCCGACTGCCTAGACACCACAGCTCTGCAGAAACCAACCATGTGGGGGGAAGCTAAAATATATGCCTTGGGACACCCCTAAAGGCACTGTGAGGATGTGAGAAACAACACAAAGGAAATAAGGTATCTACTGTCCTTGAAAAACTACTCCTGAACCCGTCTCACCCATATTTCATGTCTCTTATTTCTCAGTAACATATTTTCTGCTTCTGCAAAATAAAGGTAGTATTTTGACCTTCTTCACAGGATGGCTGTGAGAATTAGATCAGATAAGGATGAAAATCTCAGCAATTTAGATTCACAGTAAACAAGTTTGTTAATGTAGTACCTTGGGTTCAGAAAACACATACTTTTTATTCACATACTTTTTATTCACTCTTCACTGCTCTTGATGTTTTGTAAAAGTCATGAATTTTAAGTTGATCAATTCTCCCAACATTTACAAAGAAATAAAATCCAAGAGGAAAAAAAAGGATTTAATGGTCTATGAAAGCATTTGCATTGTGAGAGGTTCTGCTGAATACAGTTATGCCTTGCTGAAAAGCCCACATTTGTAGAACTTCTTGCTTGAAACCAGCAAACTATCATTAGTCCTTTCTCTTTGTCCCATCTGTTCTGTTGAACTAATCAGCTTGCTATTTCGCATCTAGCACTGTTCATGATTATTCATTCATGATTATTCAACATGAGAATCAGACCAGAGTGCATACAGTTGCGTGAAGGAAAGCAAAAGCAGCTTTCAAATGTTTACAAACATGACTCAGGGCATGACCAAAGGATGTGTGGAGAAAGAGGAAGGGAACTATGTGAGGTAAAAGCCGGGCTATTTTTAGATAGATACATTTACAGTGTAATGAGAAAGCCATGGAAACTTTCCCTTTCGTGCCGGGATCCTGATTTGGAAAAGATTAAACACTGATGACTGCAAAGACAGTGATTACAGGATGGAAAAAAACATTTCTTCCTGATGTCTCCTTTCTCTGTGTAAAGACTGAGAAACAATGACACAGACTATGAGTAAAGTCCTTATTTGAAAAAAAATAAAATTAAATTAAAAAAAGAGTCCTGATTCTAAAATGTGCCGGCAGGGTGTCCTGTGATAACTGTATTTCAGCCTCTGTTTGACGCTCCTAGATATCCACAATTTCACGAACTAATTTACTACAAACTTACAGAGTACTAACTACAGAAACGATTTTCTTTAGAGTGAATTCCAGATCATCTTTCAAGGTACTACTTTTTAAATGTCTATCCTCATCTTTGAATACAAAATCATAACTAAAAATTCTTAAAGGAGAAGAAAAACAATTTAACAGAAATATATGCTGGCCTTAGTGGGAAGGACATGCATATGCAATTTAATTAATTTAGACATACAATATGTTCCTCTATATAAATGCATATATATGTGTGTGTGTGTGTGTGTGTGTGTAATAAATGGGCTTTCCACTAAGAAAATGGGATTTTTGTCTTTGTACAAATCTAGCATATATTCTTACTACTTTAATATGTTTGTCATTTTTTTAAAGCCTATTTTAAGATTTGGGAGGCAGATGGCCTATAAGTATGTAAACAATGTAGTTTCTAAAACATCATAACCATGAATAATATTGAAGCAACTCGTATAAAACAGGACAGACAGAGGTCCCACTTCGAATTCGCTGTTTTGCGGTTATGGTCATCTCTCTTTTAATAAAAGATTTGCTGATATTAGGCTCCCAGCGTCTCATAATGCAAGACGTAGGAAAATAATTTTTAAAGCTAATGTTAGAGTTTGCATAAATTTGGAAATGCTAGTTCTTCATTAAGAGATAAGTATATACTTACAAAAATATTCCTGTAGAGATTAATATTGGACATATCTACAGGGTCCTCAGTGACTAAAAGGGGTAAGGTGGGCTGACCTGTGATCCCCTCAAGGTAAACTGAGGTAAGCCCACACCCTAACCACCCAGTCCTGTAAATATGACCTTATTAAAGAAAGACGTTCTTTTTAAAGGATTTTATTCATTGTTATTCGTGTGTATGGGAAGGTGCATGTGTGCCATGTGTGGCAGAGGACAACTTTGGGGAGTCAGTTCTCTCCATCTTAGGATCTGGGATCAAACTCAGTTGTCAAGTTTGCAAAAGTGCTTCTATCCACTGAGCCATCTCTTTGGCTTAGAGAAAGTTTCTTTTTTTCTTTTTTTTTTTTTTTTTTGGTTTTTTTGAGACAGGGTCTCCCTGTAGCCCCAGCTGTCCTGGAACTCACTATATTGACCAGGCTGGCCTTGAACTCACAGAGATCTGCCTTCCTCTGCCTCCAGAGTGCTGGGATTAAAGGCGTGTGAATATAATTAAGGA